TTGTGAATTATTGCGCATCATCATTACCCGAGTATCCGGTTGGAACTCTTGTGATCCCTTTGCACACCAGCAGTTAAGTTTGCCGTGTTAATGATTGGCTGTCAACTGTGTTAAGTTAGGTGTTTCTCCACGAGTGGATCCGAATCGATTAGCCAGACGTCAAGAGTCTCGCTAATGCGACCATAGCGTTTCTGACGCCAATCCAAAGTAAATCAAGCACCCTTTGTATTAGTGGTTAAGTTAGTAAATAAACTACTGTTAAGCTTTATGCGGTGTTTCCGTTGAACCACTTCTGAATACTGTCAACTATTTACTCAAGCCTTCAGCTCCAGGTGTCTTCAACACCGAGTTGCCTATAAGTCACTAAACTATAAATGTGATGAGGACCCTAGGAGTCCCTTAAAGTGTTAAATCATTGAGGAGATTCCAACGATCAACGTGGAGCAGGACCAGGTGAGGCTAGTCTGAGGAGAGACCCTCAAGGACTCTAACTCGACCTTGCTCCCAGGCCCTGTACGGTTGCTCTCGTATTTTCTCTGCTGATTCCGACAGCTTCGTGAAGCGTCTGCCACATGTACATTGGCGACGTACGCATTGCAGTCGGGAAAGCAAAATAGAAAACCCCACAATTCCCTTTACTAACAACTCTGACACTGAACAAGTTCTTTTTAATGTCTCTATGGCTTATTTGGGTAATCAGCTTCCGCCTGTGCGTGTACCTCCCGTGTTAAATACTCCAGCTTTGTCTACCCTGTCAATTCCCCCTGAGAATCTTGTATGTGGTGATCATGTCTCCCCGAGCTCTTCTGTCCTCCAGCGACATGAGGTACAGTTCACGCAGCCTTTCCTCGTAATTCATGTCTCTTAGTTCTGGGACTAGCCTAGTGGCATACCTCTGAACTTTTTCAAGCTTCGTCTTGTGCTTGACAAGGTACGGGCTCCATGCTGGGGCTGCATACTCCCGGATTGGTCTTACATATGTGGTATACAAGGTTCTGAAGGATTCCTTACACAGGTTTCCGAAAGCCGTTCTGATGTTAGCCAGCCTCGCATACGCCGCCTATGTTATTCTTTTGATGTGGGCTTCAGGAGACAAGTTTGGCGTGATATCAACTCCTTGATCTTTCTCTCAAATGTGTGTGTATGCTTGTGTGTATGCGTGTGTGTATGCGTGCGTGTATGCGTGTGTGTATGCGTGCGTGTATGCGTGTGTGTATGCGTGTGTGTATGCGTGTGTGCGCGTGTTTCTCATAACATGCTATATTAACATCAGTATATACTAATTCATTAGTCTCCATATATTTGACTTAGGGACACTGTAGCGCAATAAGACAAAGAAAATAATCACGATTTAATATATTCTGGCGGTAACAACACGCGTCTGTGCGCCGAGTGGCGTCTGGCCTGCATGATCCACACTCTCAGTGTCAGTGGGGGCTACGTGCTGGCTTGATCAGTGTCACGTCATACTGACCTCACACACACCTCACACACCTCCACACACCTTCACACACCTCCACACACCTCCACACACCTCCACACACCTTCACACACCTCCACACACCTCCACACACCTCCACACACCTTCACACACCTTCACACACCTCCACACACCTCCACACACCTCCACACACCTCCACACACCTTCACACACCTCCACACACCTCCACACACCTTCACACACCTCCACACACCTCCACACACCTCCACACACCTCCACACACCTTCACACACCTTCACACACCTTCACACACCTCCACACACCTTCACACACCTTCACACACCTCCACACACCTCCACACCATATGTCAACCTCAAGATCTTACCCATATTTTACTTCGTTAAGTTGGATGAGGACAGGGTAGGTTGAGCACACATGTTTTGTTTATATATGTATGTATTGGTGCACAGGTGTGTTGATGTATACCTGTGTTTGAGTACAGGTGTGTGTTGATGTATAGCTGTGTACAGGTGTGTTGATGTATAGCTGTTTGTGTACAGGTGTGTTGATGTACAACTGTGTTTGAGTACAGGTGTGTTGATGTATAGCTGTGTACAGGTGTGTTGATGTATAGCTGTTTGTGTACAGGTGTGTTGATGTACAACTGTGTTTGAGTACAGGTGTGTTGATGTATAGCTGTGTTTGTGTACAGGTGTATTGATGTATAGCTGTGTTTGTGTACAGGTGTGTTGATGTATACCTGTGTTTGTGTATAGGTGTGTTGATGTATAGCTGTGTTTGTGTACAGGTGTATTGATGTATAGCTGTGTTTGTGTACAGGTGTGTTGATGTATAACTGTGTTTATGTACAGGTGTGTTGATGTATAGGTGTGTTTGAGTACAGGTGTGTTGATGTATAGCTGTGTTTGTGTACAGGTGTGTTGATGTATACCTGTGTTTGTGTACAGGTGTGTTGATGTATACCTGTGTTTGTGTACAGGTGTATTGATGTATAGCTGTGTTTGTGTACAGGTGTGTTGATGTATAGCTGTGTTTGTGTACAGGTGTGTTGATGTATAGCTGTGTTTGTGTACAGGTGTGTTGATGTATAGGTGTGTTTGAGTACAGGTGTGTTGATGTATAGCTGTGTTTGTGTACAGGTGTGTTGATGTATAGCTGTGTTTGTGTACAGGTGTGTTGATGTATAGGTGTGTTTGAGTACAGGTGTGTTGATGTATAGCTGTTTGTGTACAGGTGTGTTGATGTATAGCTGTGTTTACATACAGGTATGTTGGTGTATAGCTGTGTTTGTGTACAGGTGTGTTGATGTATAACTGTGTTTACATACAGGTGTGTTGGTGTAAAGCTGTGTTTGTGTACAGGTGTGTTGATGTATAACTGTTTGTGTACAGGTGTGTTGATGCATAGCTGTGTTTGTGTACAGGTGTGTTGATGTATAACTGTTTGTGTACAGGTGTGTTGATGTATAGCAGTGTTTAAATACAGGTGTGTTGACGTACTGTACTGATATGTTGTTGTTCAAATTTGTTGGCTTACAATTATGCTGGCATTCAGGCGAACTTTTGTACATGTATGTTGACGTACATGTGTGTTGGTGTACATGTGTTGATGTGGAGGTTGTTGGTGTACATGTGTTGATGTGGAGGTTGTTGGTGTACATGTGTTGATGTGTTATACTCAAATTCTGTCAGTTGAAATGTAACCAATCACAGGCGAGTAGGCCTCTGACGTCATGCCAGACAGAGGAGCATCAAGCCATGCTCCCAGCAGCCTCAGTTATCCTCACAGACTCAGAGTAGAAGGACCTCGGCTAGGCAGATATATACCTTGTTGCCTCACTCAATAAATATAAACAGAAGCGACTACTGTGTCTACATTCTACCCGAACAAGGCAAACGAATACTGGTGGCAGCGGTGGGATACGAACCCACGCCTCCGAAGAGACTGGTGAGGAAGATGACAATGAACTTACCCAGACAGATACTCCTACTCGGACACCACCTTCTGTGGTTGACAGACCGCTTGATGTTCAGCAACCCCATACTAGCACCTATAATCTTAGATCTAGACCTCTCGTTTCAACCGTGCACTCACCACATGTCCATTGGCTAGATGTTAACGAGGATATCTCTCAAGATGATAGTTTGTCGCATGAAGTTTCATCTGTTCCGGACCTTCAGTCAGAGCCAGAGTTGTATAGTGCTCTGGATGAGCTAGGTGTAGATATCCGCAGAATTTATAATTGATTGCTCCTCTGTCTGGCATGACGTCAGAGGCCTACTCGCCTGTGATTGGTTACATTTCAACTGACAGAATTTGAGTATAACAGATGTGGAGGCTGTTGGTGTACATATGTTGATGTGGAGGTTGTTGGTGTACATGTGTTGATGTCGAGGTTGTTGGTGTACATGTGTTGATGTGGAGGTTGTTGGTGTACATGTGTTGATGTGGAGGTTGTTGGTGTACATGTGTTGATGTGGAGGTTGTTGGTGTACATGTGTTGATGTGGAGGTTGTTGGTGTACATGTGTTGATGTGGAGGTTGTTGGTGTACATGTGTTGATGTGGAGGTTGTTGGTGTACATGTGTTGATGTGGAGGTTGTTGGTGTACATGTGTTGATGTCGAGGTTGTTGGTGTACATGTGTTGATGTGGAGGTTGTTGGTGTACATGTGTTGATGTGGAGGTTGTTGGTGTACATGTGTTGATGTCGAGGTTGTTGGTGTACATGTGTTGATGTGGAGGTTGTTGGTGTACATGTGTTGATGTGGAGGTTGTTGGTGTACATGTGTTGATGTGGAGGTTGTTGGTGTACATGTGTTGATGTGGAGGTTGTTGGTGTACATGTGTTGATGTGGAGGTTGTTGGTGTACATGTGTTGATGTGGAGGTTGTTGGTGCACATGTGTTGATGTGGAGGTTGTTGGTGTACATGTGTTGATGTGGAGGTTGTTGGTGTACATGTGTTGATGTCGAGGTTGTTGGTGCACATGTGTTGATGTGGAGGTTGTTGGTGCACATGTGTTGATGTGGAGGTTGTTGGTGTACATGTGTTGATGTGGAGGTTGTTGGTGTACATGTGTTGATGTCGAGGTTGTTGGTGCACATGTGTTGATGTGGAGGTTGTTGGTGTACATGTGTTGATGTGGAGGTTGTTGGTGTACATGTGTGCTGGTATGTGTGTTGATGTACTTTACAATTTATACCTGATTACTGCCAATATATTTTCTAACGGACACATTACAACAGGGCCAGATAGTGGTGGTGGTGGGAGGGGGTGTGGTGTACCGTCCGTACACAGCTCCACCACCACACCTACACACACCCGTCACACACCCGTCACATACCCGTCACAACCCAGGCATATGAAAGCCGTCCATGAAGGCACCGTAGCCATCACCCTCACACTGTCACAGTAGTTACTTGATTCATGCCTCGAACGCTCAAGTCTTAAGTTACGACGCCATTTTATGATGCGCACGAGATGCGCACTCTCGAGACTTAACATTCTTAAATGAAAAAGTCTAATAAACACAAAAATCGACATAATGTTTATGAAAAGGGGAAGGACATGTTGCAGAGGCGCCTCGTTTTCTATTCGGTTCGCAAGGGTGACTTAAGATAATTGAGCTGCAGCAATCTTAAGCTTGTAGTCTTCCCACTCGGCTCGCAGCTGGTAGTTGGAGGAGTCGTATATGGTCTCAGCCTCGGCACAGGGGTAGGCCTTCTTCGGGTGGGTGCAGGCCAGCAGCTTCTGGTCGAAGATGGTCCCGGGCCCACACAGGAAGGAGAAGTGTGCCAGCTCCACGAACTGTGTATCAGAGTTCACAGTTAAGGACAATTTTGAAAAGGATTATAGTGTGTCTTGATACTTTATATATACATATATATATATATATATATATATATATATATATATATATATATATATATATATATATATATATATATATATATATATATATATATATATATATATATATATATATATATATATATATATATATATATATATATGCAAACAAGCCTGAATGGTCCCCAGGACTATATACAACTGAGGTGTGAGTTTTCAGTTATATATATATATATATATATATATATATATATATATATATATATATATAATATATAATTTTGTGTACAATAACAAATATATATAATTAAACATGCAGACTAAACAAAACATAATCTATTATTAACATTACATACAATTAGACCAAATATGTATGTACCATATATTAGGACATGTCTGTTATATTTTGTTATATGAATATTAGAACATTTCTGCATGACTTGTATATGTGTTTATAGATTATAAAAAATGCAATTGCAACATTAGCAATATTCGAATAAACAAATATAATAATCATCATTCATGCGTGATGAGCAGGTACATATATAATGAGGGTACGTAGGTACATACACATAAGTACATATACACATAGGTACATATATAATGAGGGTACGTAGGTACATACACATAAGTACATATACACATAGGTACATATATAATGAGGGTACGTAGGTACATACACATAAGTACATATACACATAGGTACATATATAATGTGAACGTGAACACTTCCAGGTTCCAGCCTCGGTAGACAGCTACTCTTACTGATAAAGAAGTTATCACATCTTCAGTTGCAATGATTGCTACTTCCTCTCCATCGGAAGACGATCCTGTTACACCTAGCTGCTTGGGCAGACATGACAGTTCTCTCGGTAATTAGACATTAAACTTGACGCCAAAGTCAGCAAGAATGGTCGGCATTCATCACGTGTCAATCTTGTCATATGCCAAACCCAGCTGACCTTCTAAGATATGAGAACGAACTTTAAACGCGACAACGAAGTGATTATTGACACCGGCGCGTCCCACTTCCTCCAGCGCCAAATATTGTAACTTGTTAGAACAGAAAGACACATTTCAGTCGCCTCACACGTTCGTCCTGACACCTACAACTAACTAAATAAACTCTCTGGCTTGGGGAAGGGCCGTGAAGGAGAGAGGAGGGAGGACAAGGAAGACTCTGGGGGGTAGAGAAGGAGTGTGAAGCAACAGTAGGGAGCACAGACGTGGCGACCTCACCTTCTCCTCGTCGTCGTACACGGGGTTACAGATGTGGTAGGCGGAGCAGCGGTTCTGAACGTCGGCGTAGTAGCCATACTCGCGTCCCTGGCAGGAGAAGCCGGACTCAATGCGGAAGCCACCAGGCAACTTGCCGGCCATCCTGGCGGAGGTTGCCGCCACCAGCGCCCCCAGCAGTGTCAGGACCAGCTTCATGGTGACTATGAACAGTTGAGAGTGTCACACACACCCCCACACTCCACACCCCCCCCCCACACTCCACACTCCACACTCCACACCACCACACTCCACACTCTCCACACCCCCCCCCACACTCCACACCCCCACACTCCACACCCCCACACCACCACACTCCACACTCTCCACACCCCCCCCACACTCCACACTCTCCACACCCCCCCCCCACACTCCACACTCAACACCCCTTCTCTCCACACTCCACACCCCCACACTCCACACCCCCACACTCCACACTCCACACCCCCACACCCCCCACACTCCGCACCACCACACCCCCACACCCTCCACACCTCCACACCCCCACACTCCACACCACCACACTCCACACCCCCACACTCCACACACCCCCACACTCCACACTACCCACACTCCACACTCCACACACCCCACACACTCCACACCCCCACACTCCACACACCCCCACACCCCCACACTTCACACCACCACACCACCCACACTCCACACCACCCACACTCCACACCACCCACACTCCACACCCCCACACTCCACACCACCCACACTCCACACCACCCACACTCCACACCCCCACACTCCACACACCCCCACACCCCCACACTTCACACCACCACACCCCCACACTACACCCCCCCACACTCCACACCCCCACACTCCACACCCCCACACTTCACTCCACCACACCCCATACCACCACACCCCCCACACTACACCCCCCCACACTCCACACCCCCACACTCCACACCACCCACACTCCACACCCCCCACACTCCTCACTCCACACCCCCCACACTCCACACCACCCACACTCCACACACCCCCACACTCCACACTCCACACACCCCCACACCCCACACTACCACACCCCCACACTCCCACACACCCCCACACCCCACACTACCACACCCCCACACTCCACACCCCCCCCCCACACCACCACAATAAGACACGTTACCTAGACAGCTCCAACCTCCAGAATGACCAGCTCATCCCCCTTACTTGTCCTTATATAGTCTTAGGAGAGCTGGTGCTTGAGCGTGAGTGATGGTGACGCTGGCGGCTGATGCTGGTGCTTGAGAGTGACCTCGTCCACACGCTACCGTTATGACCTGTGACCTGCCACACACACACACACACACACACACACACACACACACACACACACACACACACACACACACACACACACACACACACACACACACACACACACACACACACACACACACTGAATAGTGGGCTTCCGCAAATCGCCACAACCTGTTCATTTTTACATGTGTCAAACACTGCTACAGGTACCTGGTCAAACACGGCTGCAAGTCCTATATAAACAATATTCGAGGTATGAATGGGAATTTGGTGGATACAAATAAGAGCCGCATAAGAACTGCAGAAGGCCTATTGGCCCATGCGAGGCAGCTCCCATTTATAACCACCAATAGGCCCACACATGGATAATAATAGCATAAGATAGTAAATATTTACAATGAATTAGTGAGTATCAATGTGTATGTATGTGTATCAATGATCCTACTCAAATCACCCCTTAATTAATTTAATTGATCTATCAAAAATGGATCTAAGTTATATAAACCACTGCTAATGTTGAAATTACATTCTTTTGTAATCTGTATTAAAGCAGATTCAATTATGTTCCTGTTATAAGTGATTTTACAATTCGTTATTGAAGAAGCCATCTCCCAATCAATTTGGTGAGCATTTTCTGACAAATGAACAAACAAAGCATTAGACAATTGGCCATGTCTTACAGAGTATTCATGTTGCGAAATTCTACATCAAATCTTTAGATGTTTGCCCAACATAAAACCTATTACAGTCTTTACAAGGTATTTTATAAATGACACAATTATCACTACGAGGGCTGTTTCCAATTTATTAATTTCGTGATTTACACACACATACACACGCACGCACGCACGCACGCACGCACACACACACACACACACACACACACACACACACACACACACACACACACACACACACACACACACACTACACATACACACACACACACACACTACACATACACACACACACACACACACACACACACACACACTACACATTCACATACACACACACACACACACTACACACACACACACACACACTACACACACACACACTACACATACACACACACACACACACACTACACATACACACACACACACACACACACACACACACACACACACACACACACACACACACACACACACACACATATATATATATATATATATATATATATATATATATATATATATATATATATATATATTTATATACCAGCCCGTCCTCCTAAGGTTTCCCATCGTCAAGAAACTATCGTACTAAAGCGCCCTTATCCTAACCTACCAGAGGACCCAAAACAGAAAATGTGATAGTGTCAATTTTGCGAGCCGCTGCCATTTTCTATTACGACAGTTTCTAGCCTTAGGTAGAGTGTATGTCAAAATGCGACGTTCTATTAGGAGGACAGGTTGGCCACACATGCCTGTTAAAAGAAATTTTTGTTGTAAAAAATAAAATGAAAGTAATTCCTGCTGGATGGGTGCATCATCACTTCTGTCCCAGCAAGGCCGCCCGGTGTGGGGTGGGGGATGGTGGGGTGTGGGGGGCTGGGTTGGTGGGGGGAGGCAAGACAGAAGGAAAAGTGAGTAATAATGAAAACAGAAGAAAGTGAAGAACCAATGAGAAAATATGGCGGGTGTCAGCTGAGGTCCAAGCTAATGGGTCAGTGTCCGTTGTTGATAGATTGATTGTTGCCGCCTGAGGCAGCTAGTTTATTATGCACCCCATACTCATCCTGTGAGCAGTAGCGCAAAAAAAAGAATACAGAGGGCACAAAAGGTCTTTATCTGACCCTAACGGAGATTATTACATTACGAGCAGGGATACGGGCTCAGTCTTATCCTCCTCCATATTGCCTCTGACGTGAGTAATGGTCGATGGGTGGAGAGTGGGGAGGAAGGAATGGGGAGGGGGGAAGGAGAGAGTAATGTGTGGGAAGCAAGGAGGAAGAAATAGATGGAGGAAATGTGTTGGAAGGTGAAGTGGTGTAAAAGAACTTAGAGGTGATAAAAGGTTGTGTAGAGGAGAGGCTCAAGAGGTTGAGAGGAAGAAAGAAGGCATAAATGTCAGGGAGCAGAGTTGAAAAGAACAGGCAATGAAGAGGAAGAAGAGTAGGGGAGGAGGCGAAGGAAACAAAGGGCAGGGTTATCAAGAAAGGGAGAGGAGATGAACAAATAAAATGGGAATAGAGGAAAGTCAGAAGAAAAGGAGTAGGATAGACATATGTTAATCCTATTACTGTGGTTGGAAGGTGCTATCACAACCCAGTAATAAAAGTACTTGAATAGGACACGTTTACGTTATCAACAGAAGAGTACCAGAGATATGACCAACCTCAGGCAAGAAGCCTTGTGCGTCTTTATGACAAACTCCGCCGGAGCAGTTTTATGACAAACTTCCTGGCCTAGAGGTAACACAGGCGCCCTCACACACACACCCCTTCAACATGCACAATCGTTAGTGTCTTTCAGTTGGCGCTGGGAACCACTCTGAGAGAGAGAGAGAGAGAGAGAGAGAGAGAGAGAGAGAGAGAGAGAGAGAGAGAGAGAGAGAGAGAGAGAGAGAGAGAGAGAGAGAGAGAGAGAGAAGAGGGGAGGGAGGGAAGGGGTAGAGAGGGAGGAAAACCCCTGATGACATCATGGTCATAACAACTGACCTCGGGGCAAGGTGACTAAGGTTAACCCAAGTGACGCCACATCTTCAGACAGCTGTGTGATGGCCACACACAGGTACTTCCTCTTTCTCTCTCTCTCTCTCTCTCTCTCTCTCTCTCTCTCTCTCTCTCTCTCTCTCTCTCTCTCTCTCTCTCTCTCTCTCTCTCTCTCTCTCTCTCTCTCTCTCTCTCTCTCATGTTCCTTCAGTCTAGTATGCATGCTGCATCTGTCTGTTCTGTCCAATACCTACGTTTTTATTCATCTTCCACCTTCCTTCCTATCGGTAAAATCTCAAAGTTTTGATACAGAGTTCGATACAACAACACCTTAATAATAATAATACAATCATAATAATGATTCCACTGAGATCACAGGAAGTCTGGAGGTCTCAACTGAAGTAGAGGGAAGTCATTTCAAGTTTTACACAGGACCCCCAAACTCTGTGGTGCAGGTACCAATCCATCCTCTACTCAAGTCCATTCCATCCAGCGGTCGACCCCACAGATGCAGTCATAAATTTTAAAATGCTCTTCATTCAAAACAGGAATTTTCTCAATTATAAATTAATATTATAATCTATTAGCATATTGTACATATATAGGTAAGATTAGGTGTTTAGGTTCTGTTGGCGATTATTTGTATTTGTAGTACGTGGGTGAAGCAATTATAGCGTTGTGGTTCGAACAAAATTCGTCAATGAAGCACTTGTTCCGGAAGTGTTCGAACGTCATCAGTTGTGAGTCGTGTGTAAACCGTTTTTCATTCATAAACACCTGGGGGTTTGGCGGGTGGATGGAATCACTTTTGGGTCTTTGTTTGTAGGACGGGCAGGAGGTACAGTGGTTCATCAAGTCCACGCACCAACCTGGTGTGTGTCAGTGAGACAATTGGAGCACTGAGGTGACTCGAACCAGCGATCATGCTACTCCCAGCCACAGCTGATTAAGAGGAGAAAGCGCCAGGCCATTACGACTATATAGCACTTGGACAGAATACGAGGATAAGGATTTGGGATGGGACGGAGGGAAGGAATGGTGCCCAACCACTTGGACTGTCGGGGATTGAACACCGACCTGTATGAAGCGAGACCGTTGCTCTACCGACAGCCCGTCCTCCAAACAAAGACCCAAAAGTGATTCCATCCACCCGCCAAACCCCAGCTGTTTATGAATGAAAAACGGTTTACACACGACTCACAACCGATGACGTTCGAACACTTCCGGAACAAGTGCTTCACTGACGAATTTTGTTCGAACCACAACGCTGTAAATGCTTCACCCACGTACTACAAATACAAATAATCGCCAACAGAACCTAAACACCTAACCTAACCTATGTCTATATATATGCACAATATGTTAATATATTATAATATTAATTTATATTTGAGAAAATTCCCGTTTAGAATGAACAGCATGTTAAAATTTATGACTACGTCTGTGGGGTCGACCGCTGGATGGAATGGACTGGAGTTGAGGACGGGTTGTTACCGACCACTCCAAGTGGCTGGGTACTCTCAGCCGTGCATGGTTGATGGACTACTTTACCCACACCAGAGAGCTTGCGGGTTATATGTAAAACTTGGACGGGCTTCAGATGAGGCCTTGACCAGACCTCCTGTGGACTCACTAGAACCCCAGACTTACTACACCTGGCTTACACCAGGTGGTGTTAGCGGGGCGAGGCGTGGGACTGGGAGTACCCTTATCCCTGGTTCCAGTCACCCCATTGCTCCAATAGATTTTCTCTAATAATAACAATAATAATAATGAGAAAAGCCGTAGGAGCCGTGATGAGGATTCGAACCTACGACATAGGTTTGAATCCTCATCACGGCTTCTACGGATTTTCTCATTGGCATATCACGATGATGTGATTTCTCTGTGTAATAATAATAATAATAATAATAATAATAATAATAATAATAATAATTCATTTTAACTCTAAGCAGCGGACGATGTTAGTGTCCAGGAAACTGTTTGTTAATCAACACATTAAACAAGCCACTCCAGAGGACAATAGAGCAACAGAGTACTGCATGTATTGTTTAATGGTGTTTCTGCTGGCGGCGTGAGTGAGGAGGGGCAGGTCCAGCTGGTCACCAACTCCACACGGAGGGTCACCACTAGAGGTCACCACTAGAGGTCACCACAGGCAAGAGAACTGCGGATTATTCCATCTGGTCTCTGGCAACTGAGAGAGCGGAGCTCGGGAGATTAAGCTTGACCCTTCAAGCACATCACGGTGAGCACACACACACACACACACACACACACACACACGAGATGTTAGAAATAACTTTTTCAGTGTCAGAGTAGTTAATAAGAGATGGAATGCATTAGGCAGTGATGTGGTGGAGGTTGACTCCATACACAGTTTCAAATGTAGATATGATAGAGCCCAGTAGGCACAGGAATTTGTACATCAGTTGATTGACAGTTGAGAGGCGGAACCAAAGAGCCAAAGCTCAATCCCCCCGCAAATACAACTAGGTAAGTACAACTAAGCAAGTTCACACACACACGGGGCCTCGCGGCTGAGTCGTAGTCTTTAGGGTCCGGGTTCGATTCCCTGTCTAGGCAGAAACAAATGGGCAGAGTTCCTTTAACCCTGATGCCCCTGTTCACCTAGCAGTAAATAGGGAGTCAGGCAGCTGCTACGGGCTGCTTCCTGGGGATGTGTGAGTGTTAGAGAGAAATATATGTTTTAGACATAATAGAGGAAAAATAGGTTTGTTAAAAAGGCGGGGTCCAAGAGCTAATAGCTCGATTCTACAGACACAAATAGTAAATACACACACAGGTGTATGTGTACCATGTATACAAGTATACATTCATGTATAGCTCCGGCCATGTATACATGACAAGCAGCAACACCGGCCTGCAGGTGTGGCCTTCACCTGCACATCACTCACATCAGTATACATCTCAAGCTACACCTGAGGCTACAGTACCTGAGAGTACCACTTGGTGGCATTCAACAGTCGCTTACGAGTAGCTCAAGTTGATAAGATCGCTCCAGCCTCACGCCCAAACCAGTTCCTTAATTGTACACATTTTGGTCAAGGAATGGAAAGTTGTGTTGGTGGAAGAGGGACGTTGTTGCGAGGTGTTGCTTAACTGTGTGATGTAGTATATAAAGGTGACAGCTTAGCGTCTATTATTGCCTGTACGAGGTGGAGGTTTTGCTGTATAATATTCAAAGTTTAGTCTTTGTGGCGTGTAAGCTATGTTATACATATGCCCTGTGTGTCATGTGTCACGTGTTACATGTGTTGTATATGTCTTCCATTGCATTATTTGTTCAATTTGTTGCATGTGTTTTGCGTTTAGTGTGTTGAATGATGCGTCTTTAACCTGTCAGTATCTATAAAAGTGTGTCTGTCTGATTGTATGTCTGTCAGAGATTGGAGCCTGTTTGGCACATACAACTTTCCATGGTGATATGTGATAGTTTGAGGAGTGTCATAAGTGGGTCGAGGTCGATCCCACACCATGCCTCCCCTTAAGTAGGATGGCTCCTATTGCGACAATCATTGACCCTTATGAAGTGGGAAATGTGGGGTTTGATTTTCAACAAAATTTTCCTCTATATTTATAGCTTTAATCACACACGCACACCGTTGTTCCTATGTGGAGAGAGAGAGAGAGAGAGAGAGAGAGAGAGAGAGAGAGAGAGAGAGAGAGAGAGAGAGAGAGAGAGAGAGAGAGAGAGACAGACAGACAGAAAGACAGAGACCCGGGCACTGCCGGGTACCCCGGAAATGTTGATGATTTTGAGGATCAAGGTCCCTGCGACTCGGTCTCTAACTAGGCCTCCTGGATGTTGGTCTGATCAACCAGGCTGTTCGATGGGCTGCTCGCAGCCTGATGTACGAGCCACAGCCTGGTTAATCAGGTTTCTTTTCAAGGTGCTTGTTGAGTTCTCTTTTGAACACTGCGAGAGGTTGACCAGTTATGCCCCGTATGTTTGGAGGGAGAGTGTTGAAGTCTCGGGTCTCTGATGTTGATCGGGTTCTCTCTCAGCGTACCTATTGCATATCTGCTTTTCAATGGGGCTATTTTGCACCCCCTGTCATGTTTCCTGGTCCCATGTGATGTTATTTCCGTGTGCAAATTTGGAACCAGTCCTTCTAATGTTTTGATGACAAAACCACACATCAGAACATGGAGAAACGACGACGTTTCCTTCCGTCCTGGACCATTATGAGGGCTTGTGCATGTTGTTGTTATTATAGATTCAGCTACCGGGAACAAAGTTGCAAGTAGCACGGGCTATGGTGAGCCCGTAGTGGACTTACCTGGCACAGGAACGGGGCTGTAACTGTTCTGTGGCGTGTGCAAGACACGGGCAAATACATATGGTAAGAGAGTGAGGTGAGGATCAGGTAAGACAAAAAGGTAAGAGTAAGATGAAAGGTTAGAATAGGATGAAGGTAAGACTGGGATGAGGTAAGAATATGAGACAGGTAAGAGGGAAGGTAAAAAATAGTGGTAGGCTTAAGTCAGATCACGTTTATCATGACTTTTGGAGCATTTAAGAATGCAACCCGTTCTCTCACTTGCTTATAGTCAATATCTTGCTTATGAATAAGTGCATACGTGACATACTAATTTATTGTGAATATTTGAGTTTATCTTGAAAAGCTGAATAGAAAACCTCAACCTAACCTTCTTAGTATATTAAGATATTACAATTAGTACTGAACCTATACCTATATTGATATTACAGTTTTATAAAAATAATAAAACAAAACTAAATTTTGTTAATAAATTGTAGAGTAACTCAGGATATTTTTAAATTTTATATAAAATCTCTATTGTTTAATAAAACTGAGAGAAAAAGTTAGTGCCTTGAAAAAATATGGTTTGGGATATGTCACATATGTACTTATTTATAAGCGAAATAGTAACTATAAGCAATAAGTCATATATATGTGCTGTCTTGTGCGAGAGCAGGTTGCAGCTGTAGAGGCGGGAAAGATTATTTTAGAAGAAGACCAATCAATAGGATGATTAGAATCCCTAACATATCAGAAGAGAGCATTGTTTGTGTCAACGAGGAATGATTATTGTGTTTGCACAAGAGAACAGGGATATAGAAGCTCTCCTGCCATAAAGGAAGTTCCTATACATCTCAAGGATAGCACACAATGTTTACAGTGTGGTTTTATTTTTAAAGCAGTACCTAATTAACTATTTCAGCTTGAGATGAATTTTGTTCTCTTACATTGCTAGAAAACATAGTACTAGAATGCGGGTTATAGAAGCTCTTCTGCAGTTACCATATCACCTTGAGAACACCACTTCTCGTCCGATCACCAAAGTAAATCAACGTTGGATTCGTTTAGTACTTGGATGAGTGACCGCCTGAGGACACCAAATGCTGTTGGCAATAAATTTCCGTACGATGGTGCAAGTGGAACAGTGCCTGTGCCATATCCTAGAGCACATGCTCCTGTGTTTTGACAATAAAGCCCACCGCCAGATTAAAGGAACAAGATTGGAGCGAGGATGAGTGTCGTAACTGCGGAGGTCTTCATGCACACAGCCTCGAGGAGCAGCCCAGGAGGTACACCTCAGCCCCACTCGTCTGCTTCACATATGTTGATGACAGTTTTGGAGTAATGGCAGGCGGGAGGTAGAGGTACAAAACTTTCACACATGGGCTAATGGTGTCTTCCCAGATTTGGGTTTTACGGTTTAATCAAGATCTAAGGAGCTACCTTTCCACGACACCTGTGTTTACCTGCACGGAGACAGGATATTCCAAACTAAAGTTTTCTACAAGGATTCTAACCTGCATTCTTATCTCTTATATACTTTCTGTCACCCAAATTCCTTAAAGAGATCTCTCCCTTATTCGTTAGGCATCTGAATAAAGCGTTAACGAGTGTTGACAGCGAACTCAAGAAGGATTTGAATATACTTTAGTCGTTTTTCAAGGACAGAGGACACCTAGAGAGGACTCGACAGGAAGCAGCGAGAAAAACTTTCGACACTGCCGAGGCGGGACCTTCTGAGGGCCGGACGACAGCGGATTCCCCTCTCCAGGATGGTGCTGTCCAACCACTTGGGCTGGACGGTAGAGCGTTGGTCTCGCTTCATGCAGGTCGGCGTTCAATCCCCGACCGTCCAAGTGGTTGGACACCATTCCTTCCCTCCCCGTCCCATCCTTATCCTGATCCCTTCCCAGTGCTATATAGTCGTCATGGTATGGCGCTTTCCCGACAATTCCCTTCCCTTCCCTTCCAGGATGGTGCTGTCTTCATCGTATACTCCTACAGCATCACGATTACCTACAGGGAGGAGATAAACTTTGCCCGTGGATGGGAGGCACCTTTAATAGCATGATATATCAAATGAACAAATCCACAAAGGCCGTGATGAGGGTTCTAATCTACGTCCGGGATGATCTCAGAAGCGCCTTAGTCAGTTAAGAAGCCCCCAAAGTGGCAACATTTCCATTAGGAACCCTCTCTGATAGCCAGGAAAAGGGGGAGCCTCCTTGTAGGATATGCTAGTAAGGGCATGTTTCCCTACTCACCCACAGTAGAAAGGGGCAGACCATGAATAGGAATACAAGTTATTCTAACCTAACTTGATGCAAATCCGAGGGTCTCCTTGGTTTTAACTGAAACACATGTGGTTACTGGAGCTACTACCAATTATGAGTAAATATGTGCGTTTTCTGCATGAGACTCGATGGGTTAGGTGGGTTGCTTTGGTTCGCATGTTCTGGTTCGATGAAAGGTTGGATTTTTTTTACTGAGTGTCTCTGTATTTCCTTCTTAAGATGGGAAACTAACCAAATTAATGTTTGTTTACGAATGATATATTTATTTGTGATTAGTTTGTCGGTTGGTATGTACAGTACTGAGGGGAAGGTGTAATGAGTGGCCACACACACACACACACACACACACACACACACACACACACACACACACACACACACACACACACACACACACACACACACACACACACAGTAGTAGACAAGAAGACGATCCATGTAAGCAAGAGCCAGGGACGACACCCTAAACGGGAACCAGTGCAGTCGTTTGTTTTTCTTCTTGGTTCCTGGCCCGAAGAGACGCCTACCGCTCCAGCGGCGCCAGATTCTCTTCCGGGATTACTCCAAACTTTTCGTTGGAGACTTCGAAGATGGCGGTGGAGTCGGTGCAGGGGAAGGCCTCGGTCGGGTGTGCGCAGGTGAGAGAGTCCTGACTGAAGACAGCGTCCTGACCGCAGATGAAAGTGAAGTGCGCAGTTTCCATTAGCTGCTGGGAGAGGCGGAGATGTGAGGTTCAGCATTCTCACAAGGTGAGCAAAGAGCTAATTATTATTAATCGTATAATTCAATGAAGAAGAGCTATCGAGGTGTTTCCGCCTCACAACACACAACAAATAAATAGCAATGATTTATTTTTTTGGAATAGATCAGCGTAAACACGGAGACCTTACCGTGCCGCCTTCCTCCATGACGGGGTAGCACACGTGGAAGGCCTTGCAGGCGTGCTCCACGTCGGCGTAGTAGCCGAAGGGTCGGTCGGCGCAGCTGAAGGATGACTGCAGGGCGCCCGAGCCTCCTGGGAGCATTCCCGCCATCCTGGCGGAGGCGGCGACGGCCAGGGTTGCCAGGACCAGGAGCTCTCTCATCGTGTCTAAGGAGGAGACACTCATGTCATGCTAGATGACAACAATGTCTTCAGTGACACTATTATCATAACCAACATATTATGTCACAAATATATAGTGAACTTGCGCAAACGCTTAATGAAGACCTATGTTTAAAAATGCCATTCGATTAATGATTGATTTTGTAATAACCTGCAACAATTTTTTTGCATTAAAGTACAATTAAATGTTCACAAGAAAAATGAAAAACCTAAAAGAAAGTTGTGAATATTACAATGAATATTAATAATTAATAGTAATATAATAATAATAATATATTACCATTAACAACAATTAATAGTAATATATTACAATATATTATTATTGCATTTGAACTGATGTGGTTAATTCAAGTAAATGAAGTAATTTTTTAGTTTAGTGTTTGGCTAAAGACCTATCAACTCCCGGCGCCACCACAGTAAGTTACTGACCAGCCGGCAGAGGGCGCTGAGAACGGGTCTCACAAGAATCAGGGACATTCAAGAGAATTCTCCCCCTTTGTTTCAGAATAAAATTATGCCTTTATGAACAAAATAAATTAAACTTAAATAGTGTAAGTATGTTGTGTAAAACCGTTCAGTTCTGGCCTGGGTGCAAATTTAGTTGAGATAATTTCCACTTGTATGTATGTATGTATGTATGTATGTATGTATGTATGTATGTATGTATGTATGTATGTATGTATGTATGTATGTATGTATGTATGTATGTATGTCTGTATGTATATTAACACATACGCCACACTATTACTTACAATTTTCCGTGTATAGACGCACAAGTTGTTCCTTTAAGTAATAAATAACGCCGAACACTATATGGAAGCCGGATGTGACCAGATATAAACGCTCACGAACCACCTTAATTAAGGCGTTCCAGAACGCCCCGTATTTGGTTATTGTGATACAACATCAAAATTATAGTTTAGTTGTTCTTTCACCGCCTGAATAAAAGGGAGAATTTTTTTCCCCTATAAAACTTGGAGTTTGAAAGGGGAAAGCAGAGCGCACTGGATTACCATCACACGGTGAACACTTCCGAGGCGGCTGAGGAATCCGTAGTGAGAGAGTGAAAACCTCTTACCTGAGCAGGTGAGGTGCTGAGAGAACTGCTGACGTAGCTCCTCCCGTCTGCTTATTTATACCTGCTGGGGAAGCCAAATAGGCAACATCCGGTCCTGGGAAGAAGGTGGAGGAGGACTGGAGGTGACCAGGGTGACCAGGATCAAGGCCGGGGCAGCAGGGGCCCAGGGGGGCCCTCACTCTTGTAGGTCACGGTGGACTTTTCTTGTGAAAAGGAAAGTGAAGAAGAAGAGAGGTTGACCAATTGCTCAGCCGTATAAGTCCATCCTCAGATGAGAAGGCGTCAATCAACTGGGAGGAGCTTCTTGCCAGCCATCAAACTCAAACCCGCCTCGCATCACACGGCAAACAATAAATATATTGTTCCCTCGCGACCTGTAATTACGAGAGTGAACTTAACATGTAATAACGTGTTGAAATAATTTATCTCAGTAATTGTAGACATGGAGATGTGAGAGACAAGCCCCCGGAGCCCGCGCGGGGCGACCAGGTAACGGACTCAGGCTCCCACAACACGACTTCTCCCGCTCCCGCCAACGCTCACGACCCGCACCTCCTCCTCACCTCCGTAACTTTAAACTCTCATCTCATATTCTAAGCTTCTTGTGGCGTGCTGGAACGACCGTCATGTGCCGCCGCGCGTCACGACCACACCACCGTAGTTAATATCACTACAACAAACACCTATACCAATATTATATCAACAAGACGAACTTTTTTTTTTAGGATATAACGACGTCGTCTCTCGCATCCAAGACCCTTGAATCCCCCCGTGTTAGTGTTACTTATGAGAAATAAAGTAGATTCATCCACATCCACAGTCATAATCCACAGTCATAATCCACTGTCATAACTCAACCAGTTACATTTGTCTGTGTGAGATTTATAAGGGAACAATTGTTAATGTTTAAACAGTTGCCCCAGCAGGGACAGGGGGCCCCTGCTGACTGTAAGGGACCAAAGTGGCTCTTGACGTCATCCCGTTCACCACGTCTGGTGTCAGGGACCAGGGATACTCTGGTGTCAGGGACCAGGGATACTCTGGTGTCAGGGACCAGGGATACTCTGGTGTCAGGGACCAGGGATACTCTGGTGTCAGGGACCAGGGATACTCTGGTGTCAGGGACCAGGGATACTCTGGTGTCAGGGACCAGGGATACTCTGGTGTCAGGGACCAGGGATACTCTGGTGTCAGAGAGCAGAAGGGCTTAGCCAGTTAGAGGACAAACAACTCTACCAGCCAATCTTAAGACCAGAACTGGCTCTACAGAATGCGGGGAAGACATGCTGAACCGTAATCCCTCAAGATCTCCAACAGGATAGATATCTTAGGGAGGAGGTGTGGCTTGACTTCGGCATCGGCAAGGTACTTGTTTGTTTGACCTTTTAATCTGAGATCCCGCCACTCCATTTTTTGCCTAAGGCACATACAGATTTTTATTTCCTGACAGGATCTTGGCTGGGTCAGCCGATCCTGGGTGGTTGTAGAGTGCCTGTAGGTGCCCACGTGCCCTGTGGGTATGGTATGCACAGACTTATAGGCCCCTCTATTTGGAGTCTTCCCTGAGCGGATTTATGCGGACTTCCTCCACAAGATACAAGGGACCTTAACTTCATTACACACAGAAATCACAATTGCGTGATGCATCAAATGAACAAAGATGCGTGATGCATCAAATTTTGACCATGTCGTAGCTCAGTCGATTAAGGCAGCGTCTGGGATGCTCTCGGAAGCAGGTTCGAATCCCCGTCACGACCCTTGTGGATTTGTTTACAAGGGACCCATTTCCACGAGGAGCAATGTATTTGTTTACTACATGTCTCGTTGCTTTATCCAAGCACCCATAACGTGAAATCAGCTGTTCGAGTGGCGGATTTTTTTTTTAAGAACATAAGGGATGACGTCCAGAGTAAACATTTGTCAGCAGGAATCAAAATGATCACAAGGAGAAATATAATTGAGGCGTGCCTACTACACGTCATGACTGACACGCTTATATGACAGGGTTGAGTACAGAGATGTTGTTGTTGTTTTAGATTTAGCTGCTCAGAACGAAACGTCCATGTAGCACGGGCTATGGTGAGCCCGTAATTGTGTTCGGTTATTCGCGATAACCTTGTTACTGTGATATTTGGGTCAAAGTTTTAAATGGAGGAGGGGGGGGGTTTCCTCCTTTTTCCCTGTTTCTTTCACTTATGTTTTAGTGCACTGGTTTTAGTCGTGTTTTAATAACATTATCTTGGTGCCGGATGTAGGTGCAGAATGTTCACTAGTGAGTCCCATTCTTCAACTGTTTTTCCAATCATTGTAGTCACTGTGGAATTTGCATCTAATGCAGCTGCTGTCGTTGGAATAATATTGAATTTGATGCGTAGGGCTTCAGTAGCTTCACATTCCAGTAAGTAGTGCAATAGTGGCGCCTCTGCTTCTGTTCCACAGATATGACACTCTTTAACTATTGGGTTTATTACCTCCCAGCAGCACTTGTAACCATGTCTGAGTCTGTGTATGGCTACTGCAATGTCTCTGGGTATCTTTTTGCCAGGCTTGAAAGAGTAGTACCCAGTGGCTTGTTCGTACCATATCCCAGTGGATCTTCCTTCCACTACTTTGGCTCTGTGGCGACTTTTGATAGTTGTGAGCATTTTCTTCTTGTTCTTGATTTGCTCATTAATCTGTGAGAAACTTTGAGGTCTTTTAACCTGTACAACAGGTAGAGCAGTGACAGTTTTTGCTAGCGAGTCTGCCTTTTCATTACCATCTATGCCAATGTGACTTGGTATCCAATATAGGGTGATTGACAGCCCTAGATTGTGGGCTTCTTTTGCTATATGTAGGATTTCTGTGATGAGTTGTGTATTATTTCTGTGCTGGCTGGATAACAATGCCTGGAGCGAAGATTTAGAGTCAGTATGAATGATGACATCATGTAAATTATTCTCAATTGTATAATTTATGGCCTCTTTCAGGGCATATAATTCTATTTGCAATGTTGAGTACCTACTATTCATGCTCCAGTAAGCTCCATGGTTGTTAGTGTAAACTGCTGCCCCAACAGAACCTTTTTCTTGATCAACTGATCCGTCTGTGAAGATGTGAGTCGTTGTAGGTCTTGATGCACAGAAAGATGACAAGCACTGCTATAGGAGTGAGTGTTATGGTAGGTGAGGTGCTTGTCTACGCAGCCTTTGAAAGAATGAAAGGCTGTGGGAAAGAAAGAAGTATCGCCCAGACCCGTTGGTATAATAGAAGTGCATTGATGACGTGTTTGGAATAACAGTAGAGGGTATGGAAGCTGTGAAGTCTTTCCACTCCTGGACAAATACACTCCTTGGAAGTCTTAGCTTTATCTTGGAGAGTAGCGAGAGTGAACTTCCTTTTCTTAATACGTGTGTCTACCGTTCATGCAAACAGGAGACTACTTACCAGAGTGTACTACAAGGGACCTAATTTGTGCACCATTATTGACTGTATTCGTCAACGGTAACGCGTTGGTGTTCGGCTGTTTAAGGCTAGGGGTATGGCCTCGTCACATAGTTATAAAAAAAAATAGAAAAAACTGGAACTTCGTCTGTGGTAAGGTAAGGAGAAGACACACAAAACACAAGTAAACTTTAACAATGAAATTTTAATTACGTTAAATAAATCAAAACATGAAAATAATGCACAAACAAATTCTTATAATAAAATCAATGAATCAAAATAATAAGAATAATTAAATGACAATGAAAAGTTACGTTAAGGCAAAATAACAAGAAGTGCAACACAAAGTTAAGTGGGAGGTGCTGGAATATTGGCTTAAAGCCACCACTCTTCTCAGTACACGCTAGAGTCTAGCTGGGAGGAGTGCTGGCCACGAAAGCACTGAACATTCTGAGGACTGATGTTGGGGCGACCCCAGACATCAGGTAGTATGGGGGGGCGAGTGCAGGTGCAGCCAGACCGGCGACCAATCAGCGCAGCCGGCAGCGATCAACATGTAGTTTGGTGGTTGGAGTTCGAACAGGTGGCTGGCTGCATACGTTTTTGCTCACCCTGGCAAGCCTTGCTGGTGTTGTTGTCGTTGTTGGACATTTCTTCCATAGTCTTTTATATAATTTCGACGACGTAATTGTGGAGGGAAGAGCAGGCTCAATCTCTTGAAGGAGATTATCGTCACAACTCTCCCCCGAAGCCTGCGGTTCTGGAAGAAGTACGTCGTTATGTGGTGGAGTATTAGATGGAGTTGCTTCTACTTCATAAACTCTGGAGAGATCATGGGCTAAGATGTTGTCAGACTCTTGGTATAGCGTGTCTCCAGGTTGAATTTCTGCAGTTAGCAAGCCCATAGTAGAAGACGTTGAGATGAGAAGTGGGCGTGCTGCAGGAGGTATAGGGTGGTGTGGTCCGTATTGATGGTGGACCGAGCACTTTTCAGGTGTGGAGTGAAGTGCTGAAGCTTCAGGATGAGGAAGAGTAGCTCCTTGCCAATTGTTCCGTCGTTCCTTGTAGCAGTAGTCGCTGACAGGTGTATTCTTCTCGCCTCGTTGCTGCATCACGACACCACCATCGTCGGTACCCCTAGCGTCGACATGGAGGATGAAGGGTTTATCTGACGAGGTGAGAGTGGAATTAGAAGAGGGCAAAGGAGCACGATTATTATCCTGAAAGCATTTGGGAAGATCATTAAGGATTTCGGAATTAGAAAGCGCTGACTCCTTGTCAGTGCTTTCGGGAGGAGAAGCTGGGAAGGTCTCACTGTGGATGTAGGGTTCTGTGAATGTGGAATAGTTAGTCAAGACAGTGGGAGGAGTACCATTATATTGCTTCAAGAGGTTGACGTGGCACAGCTGGGTCTTCCGCCGCCTATCTGGAGTCTCTATGACGTATGTGTTGTTATTCCTGCACTCTTTGACGCAGTAGGGTCCTGAAAATTTGTTTTGTAAAGGTGAACCTGGGATAGGGAAATAGGCAAGGACGAAGTCTCCCGGCTTGAATTTTCTTACTTTGCTGGT